CATCATGGCCTGCACTAGGCTCGGACGCGAGAGGTCGCCATCGCCGATCACTTCCCTGAGGGCACGGCGGTGCTCAGCCCACGCAGGGCATTCTCCCACTGTGTGTTCCACCGTGTCCTCAGGGCGGTCCTCGCAGTGATGACACCCGGGCGTTTCCTCCCGCCCCATCAGACACAGGTACCTCCCGAAACTTCCATGTCCGGTGAGGACCTGCGTCAGGCGGTAGGTGAGGACGCCGTAGCGTCTCTCAAGCCACTCCTCAAAGAGGGGACTTACCGCTGCAATGGCAGCGAGCCCAATGAAACATTCACTAGGGTGAATATTCATTTGAGTGAACCGTCTCATATCAAAGGTGGTTAAAACTATAATTTTTTTCTCTATCCATGTATGTATAATACTAAATATTGTTTCAATGAAACATTTTATTAAACAATGTATAAATTAAGCTATTTATTTACCCCCATTTTAATGTTTTAACTACGTAAGATCATTAATCTAACCAACTCAAACATTTAGGATATTATTCTTCAACAACCTCGGAAGTGTGTTCAAGAAAAGTTCGTGTACATTTCATTTGTAACTCAAATTTGAACATTATACTAATATGTTTGCAGTTAAATATAATTCTGTGAAATCATTTTGACTAATTAGATAAAATAGTAATCTTTACTATAGGATGATAAATCTTAAAATTGTATTATACATGCAATTATATGTATTATATAAGCTGAAAAGTTTTTGGGACAATCCCGCCACAACCTCCCAAAACCGCTAAAACTTCTATAAAAGTTTATTTATTTGAACGCACTACTGATTTGGAAAATGGATCATTTTGTATTGGATAGCCTTTTTATCAAGAAAGGCTATCCACTATAAAACATCACGCTACAATCAAAATGCGCTGAGCTGAGGAAGTAGCTAGTATTATAAAATGCTGAAGAGTTTGTTTATTTGTTTGTTCGAGCGCGCTAATCTCCGGAACTACTGGTCCAATGTGAAAAATCCTTTTTGTATTGGATAGTCCATTTATTGAGGAATGCTATAAACGCTACGATATCATTAAGAGCTGAGCAGAGCAAATAAATAAAGGATGATTAGCAGAATATAAAAGTTTAAACTCTAAAGCTATAAAGTCGCAAAATTATAAAAGGTCTTTACAACCTGTTATGCCGTAGCCCGACGCTACGCTTTCGTTCGTAGGCGACGTAGGTACGAATAGTAATCTATCTTATTGGTTACGAACTGTATTGTACCGATAACAACAAACATAACATCACGCCTTTTATCCCCGAAGGGGTAGGCAGAGGTGCACATTATGCCACTGTACAATGTAACACCCACTTTTCACTATTTATGTTATGAGTCCCATGTCATAGGGGTGAGCCTATTGCCATATACCGGGCACAATTCCAGACTCCGTGCTACTACTGAGAATTTTTTAAAAACCCAGTAATACTTTGCCCGACCCCGGAATCGAACCCGAGACCCCTTGCCCGGCAGTCGCACTTGCGACCATTCAGCCAACGAGGCAGTCTACCGATAACAGTATCACAATAAAATTACTATATAACAATCAGATCTTATCTTTATCTCATTTCTGGTCTAGATAAAATATATTTATTGCTGAGTAGACGAAACGTATTAGAAATCATTGCGTAATTTTAACTTGCAATTCATTGATACTTTTTGTTTATCATCTTTATGAATGAAGAAAACGAAATAATCATTACTTATCTAAGTCGACTCGAGAACACATAGTTAGCTTTTCAGAAGAAACTGTATTATAACCTACGTACTATGTATACATTATCTAGACACAAGAATAGTTCACATATTTTTATCACATTTGATTGTTGTTGATGACTCTTTTTCCGTCTAAGATCGATCCAAAGATGTTGGATTACTTTACATTAGAATACAACAGTAGATTTGGAAACAATGTGAAACTAGAAATATCTTATCATTCAAAAACCAAAGAATACCAATCTAATCCTAATTCATAGTATTACTACACATTTTAGGGTACATACTTCAGTACTTACGTTACCGATAAGCATACTGGATTTGTAAGGAAAAACTTTTAAAAGAACTATTATGAAGTAAAGCTAAAACTAATAAAAAAATCAAGTTAGAATATATTATTTATTAGTTACAATTTTTCAATACATCATATTATAGTGAGATATCATCACATTATAGAAGAACCGGTAATAAAAATAATTCAGTTTATAATTTGACAACTGCTTTACCGATATTGTCGCCTTTCAGCACTCCTAATAAAGCATCAAAGAGATTCTCGAAACCTTCCGTGACATGTTCTTTGGCCACTATCTTCCCACTCTGTATCCACTTGGTGATTTGTTCAAATGCTTCAGGGAATTTATCAAGCGACTCCCATACGTGATACCCTCTAACTGATAGTCGATGGTGCAGTATTGCAGGTTGCAAAAGTGTCACTTTCGGCAACTTATTGCGATCCTCGTTGTACGCGCTAATGGAACCAATTACTACGACTCGTGCGTCATCATTCATCTGGTACAAGATGGTGCTGCTCAGCTCTCCGCCGACGTTGTCGTAGTAACAGTCCACTCCCTCCGGAGCAGCTTCTTTCAGTGCAGCCGCGTTGTCGGCAGTCTTGTAGTTGATCGCCTTGTCAAAGCCGATACTCTCCAGCCATTTGACTTTCTCGTCGGAGCCAGCGAAGCCGATCACTTTGCAGCCCATGATCTTCGCGATCTGTCCGACCAGAGAGCCCACAGCTCCAGCGGCCCCCGTCACGACAACTGTGTCACCAGGCTTGGGTCTGCAGTGTTCCAGGAATCCGAAGTACGCAGTAGCACCTGGCATGCCTACAGCACCAACTGCCAGAGAGTCCGGAAGACCTTCCATGACTGGAAGTTTGTAAATTTTCCCTGTTGGGTGGGTGTCGCCGTACACTTTATTAGTATCCAGAATGCAGTAGTCACACCAGCCCTTATGAGACACCACCTTTGTGCCTACAGGGTAGTCAGCGGCTTTTGTTTCTACCACTACGCCTACATTGTAACCGAACTGGTCGTACTTTTGGGATGAACTATAAAGTCGCATGTAAGGGTCAACACTCAACCACTGACTTTTGACGAGAATCTCTCCATCTTTGAGGGGCGGCAGCTCGTGCTCCTCTATTTGGAAATCTTCACGTTTGGGCCAACCCTTGAACTCGTTGACTACGACGTACTTGCGTGCTTTCACCATGGTGTCTTCACAATACTGACTGACAACTGATGGTTCACGGGCTATTTATCTGTCTGCCTAAAGTGTTATCATGTCATTAAAGTACCAAAAGTACTAGTGTTATCTTTGTATCTCATGAGATAGCTAAATCATTTACTAAAAAAGTTATATCATTGTCTTACAGATAAAAAATTGCACCATCTTTTAATATTCTAAGAATCAATAACTTTACAAAAATTTGATTTGTCTTATCTCGTTAAGGTAAATGTTACCTTAACTCATGGCTCATGGCAAAATCATATGGTAGTAAGCACAGGGCCTTTTTTCAATGACCATTAACTAGATAGATATATAACCAATAAGCTAACAAGTGTCCTTCAACATATAAATCTTCTCTTGATCTTTCGGAGAACAACTTCCATTACGTGGCATTTTAATTTCAAACACGGCTTGAGGTGGCAGGGATTGAGACCTTCCCATTGTCAAGGTTTCCTTCCATGCGTCGCATCTGATACCGACCATATTTAGAAACCCCTTATAGTTTGTAACTATAGAGTTTCTTGCTCGTTCTTCTCCTTTCGAATCTACATTTTGGAATAAGCACCTAGCTTCACCTAGCTTCACTGACGGACTGACTGACAGACTATAATTTATTTTGTATTTGTTGACGTTTCAAAAGTACACAAATTATGGTTTAATTGAAATAAATGCTTTGACTTTGACCTTAAAGCATGATGCATGATTAAAGCATGCTGTTCATGAATATGAGCCTCTAGCATGGCTTGAAACTAGTCGAGTTCCTAGTCAAACAGTTACGTGAGTAAGTCGAAAACATAATAATTAATTAGTATGTCTTACGAAAGTTTTAATATCAACGTTAAAGCATAACAATAATATAAGGAAATCAGAGTTCGTCAGGTAAACTTACCATGAAGTTCTATAAAAATGAAACTGATTAGGTACAGGATAATTTAAGTACCTACTACATATTATCAGCAACTGCGAGAAATCTTTTCTATGTCCAAATGGTTTGCTTATCAAAGCATTACTTTAACTACACACCACAAACTAATTGCTAGTGCTCGAGGTACACAAGCATTGTATCCCAATAGTAAGGAATGCAAAATATTATATACAGTTACCTCAATACCAAACTCTAAATACAAAAATATATCAAACACCGTACAGCGTAAACAGATTTTATTCTAATTATTACATAATAACATAACATCACGCCTTTTATCCCCGAAGGGGTAGGCAGAGGTGCACATTATACCAATGTACAATGTAACACCCACTTTTCACTATTTATGTTATGAGTCCCATGTAATAGGGGGTGAGCCTATTGCCATATACCGGGCACAATTCCATAATCTGTGCTACTGCTGAGAATATTTAAAAACCCAGTAATAGTTTGCCCGACCCGGGAATCGAACCCGAGACTTACGACACTTAAGACCACTCGGCCAAAGAGGCAGAATATTCTAATTATTCTAATCTTTAAACCGCTTTATTTCGATTACATTTTTTATGATACGCTAAGATACTTTCATAGTGATTGATTGAAAACATATATACTTGGGTTTCCCAGTACTTGTAATCACACACTTGTATGATGCAACCTACTCTCTAAATGATTTTACTATTTTTCGGGAAATGACTGCCATTTTCTACCCCATGATGTAATTGCAAGTCATTTAAGCACTTATAATATGATATATGATAATATAAGATAAATAAATAGCCCATTCGACCAGTTGATCGACAGTCCGTATTGTGTAGTCACAATGGTAAAAGCGCGCAAGTACGTTGTAGTCAACGAGTTCAAGGGTTGGCCTAAGCGTGAAGATTTCCAAATTGAGGAACACGAACTGCCGCCCCTCAAGGATGGAGAGATTCTAGTCAAAACTCAGTGGCTGAGTGTTGACCCATACATGCGAGCCCACAGTTCAAAAGAACGGTACGACCAATTTGGCTACAATATTGCCGCAGTAATAGAAACCAAGGCCGCTGACTACCCTGTTGGAACGAAAGTGGTATCCCACAAGGGGTGGTGTGACTATTGCATCTTGGACACTAATAAGGTATATGAGGACACCGGAAAAATTTACAAACTTCCACTCATGAAGGGTTTGTCTGATTCGCTGGCAGTTGGTGCCGTGGGTATGCCAGGTGCAACTGCATACTTCGGATTCCTGGAACACTGCAAACCTAAAGCTGGTGAGACAGTTGTAGTGACGGGGGCTGCGGGAGCTGTGGGCTCTCTGGTCGGACAGATCGCGAAGATCAAGGGCTGCAAGGTGATCGGCTTCGCTGGCTCCGACGAGAAAGTCAAGTGGCTGGAGAGCATCGGTTTTGACAAGGCGATCAACTACAAGACTGCCGACAACGCGGCTTCACTGAGGGAAGCTGCTCCACAGGGAGTAGACTGTTACTACGACAACGTCGGCGGAGAGCTGAGCAGTACCATCTTGTACCAGATGAACCAACATGGACGAGTCGTAGTTGTCGGTTCCATCAGCTCGTACAACGAGGATCGCAATAATTTACCCAAAGCAACAATCTTACAACCTGCCATTCTGTACCGTCGACTATCAGTCAGCGGTTATATTGTATTTGATTCGCTTGATAAGTTCCCTGAAGCATTTGATCAAATCACCAAGTGGATACAGAGTGGGAAGATAGTGGCCAAAGAACATGTCACGGAAGGTTTCGAGAATCTCTATGATGCTTTAATAGGAGTGTTGAAAGGTGATAACATTGGAAAGGCTGTTGTCAAAATATAAACTGTACAATATTTTACGATTTCTTCTCTTAGTAAATAGTATAATGATAATATGATCATCAAGATTAGCCGGTAAAGTTTTTTATATATGATGGGTCGACGTTTGTTCACTATCTCACCTGGTGGTAAGCAATGATGGAGGCAAGGCCTACGATGGAGCACGTCTGCCCACAAGCAGCCTTTTCACTTGGGCCACATACTTCCACCTTCTGTAAAAAGATATTTACGAAATCTGTTGCTTGACAGCTGTTTTGGGAATTATACTGAAGTCAAGTCACAGTCAATTACTTTCAGTGCTACTACTGTAACCCTTGTGTCAACTGGTGAAAAGAGAGAAGAATTTCAATTTTTTAAATGTATTACCTTATGTACCACCCCCTGTCTCATGCAAATATTTATAAACAATTTAAATGTCTTGTTATAGGAAATAAATCATTTTTTATTAATATAATTTTATTACTATTGTATGTAATAGAGCTTACATACGTTGCGATTCCATACTAGTTCCAAGGTATAGAAGCTGACTCAATTCACATTAGCGTATAAGTACTCAACTACAATAAAAATAAAAAACTGCGTTTAAAAAACCGACTTCAGAAACAAAAATAAACGAAAAGGAAAACTAAAAAGCAAAAAATAACTATTATTGGTCATACGTACTTACATATAGCTTACACACCCACTGGTAGGTGAGAAGTCGGTGCGACAAACCCATAATAAAATATATCTTAGGTAATATGATGTGATGATACTACTTCATCATCAGACCTTATTGGCAATCACATACTACCTAGGTATAAAGTCCTCATCAATACAAATTAATAAAACCCAAACACAAGATAGCTGCTGTTAACCGTTGAGGAGTTCCCTTGACTGCCTATTAGCTTCGTCATCAGATCAGCTCCAGACCTTTATCAGATTGTAGTGGTTTTAAATATTTAACGAAAAATTAAACAAATGCACTAGCCACCCCAAAAATTTTTAAAAGTTCCCCTCGGTTTTCCTGGGATTCCATCATCAAATCCTGACTCCATGACAATGGGACCAAATGACAAACCTACTCTTTCAAACTAAAACAGAATATTTGTAATCGGTCCAGGCGTCTTCGAGTAATCGAGTAACAAACATAAAAAAATACGGTCGAATTGAGAACCTCCTCCTTTTTTTGAAGTCGGTTGAAAAAGAACACCAAAATAACTAATAGTAATATTTATTAATTAATTAAAAAGTATCATTAAAAAATTTAACTACGTACGTACAAAAATATAACAGAATAATTACAAAAATAGAAATTTTTAGTTACAAAACCGACAGTGATTAGGTACTAATTAAATTACCCAAGAGACTAAAAATTAAAAAAAAATAACCACAGAGATACGAAAAGCAACTTTTCGTTTCGTTGTCAGTTCGCCTCTGTAAAGAAAATCACGTCGTCGACCATTTAGAAAAACAATGTAAATTATTTTTAAAATTATTTTGAACGTTCAGTTATTTATTACTCGATGGTTATAAGTAAATATTAGCAAGTTATCCTAATAAACGTAGTTTCTCATTTCAATGCTTTGGACATCATCATTGCTCCATAGAGTCTCGACTTCATACTCTGAATCGTGTGAGGCCATGGCATGCTCGCGCCGTTCCCATCTTGAGCGCACCAGACGAGCGATCTCCAGCCACAGCCGCGCTTCCAATACTACGAGATAATGATGTTATCATTACGTTACTGGATGTTATAAAAGTTTGTGACTGTACAGATAATGAATCTAAGGGCCGATTATCCAACGCTAGTTAAATTTTATCAGAGGATTAACTTTGAATATTTGACAATTCTTTCATATTAAAATTATAAAATGTCAATTCTAGAACGCATCCTGTGCGGGGACAAATATGTATAATATTTTGGAAAATAAGGAAAACTTACGGAATAGAAACGAGAAAGCAGTTAGGAAGAGAGGATTCACGTTGCCGTTGATGACTGCCATCGTATAGAGGAGGGCTCCAGCCGTGGGGGCCTGCCTCAAGAACAGGCCGCGAAGGGTTGCTCCCAGCCAGGGGAGGAACAAATACTCACTTAGTGGAGAGCGCTAAAAGACAAAACCAAATTATTGTCACGTTAGCTTTAGTAAAAACACATCTGCTTCTGTTACTTGATCAGCACACACTCACCAAAGTGGAATGGATGAGTATAGACCTGTACCTACGAGCATACAGCGCTCTATACATTCCTATCTGCTTTATGATGTTATGATCACTTCGGCAATTGGTTGGAATCGTGCAAGAATCAAAAAACAACTATCCAGTCCAGTACCAGGGTTGTGTCACATTATGGCTGGTGTGATTGCTGCATTATAAGCCCATTTTTTAAGAGGGAAATCATCAAATAACTTTTTCCACCTTGGATGAGGCAAGAGCGAATTTCAGACTGTTACTGACTATAATCACCACGTTCCAACTCCTGTTCGAGTGTGAGCCCTGGTAAGCTACAATACGGATTATATTTATTCATGGTAGAAAATGGTTTTATCCAGAAGTGAGGCTAGACTGGAATAATAAGCATTTCTAACGATGAAATAACAAACTTAACCTTCAATAGATGAATAATAAATGATTATTTTTAGACTATTTAATGTATTGCACAATATTTTGAAATACAAAATGCAAGTCATATCAACTTGTTGGTGATAATATTTTTATAAGTCAGTAGAATAGTCAGTCGTGTGTTCAGTAATTCTCAAAATAATATCTTAAAAACAATATGGTGAAAGCACGCAAGTACGTTGTAGTCAACGAGTTCAAGGGTTGGCCCAAACGTGAAGATTTTCAAATTGAGGAGCACGAACTGCCGCCCCTCAAGGATGGTGAGATTCTCGTCAAAAGTCAGTGGCTAAGCGTTGACCCATACATGCGACTACACAGTTCGAAACAGAAGTACGACCAGTTCGGCCACAATGTTGGCGTGGTGATAGAAACCAAAGCCACCGACTTCCCGATCGGCACCAAAGTGGTGTCCCACAAGGGATGGTGTGACTACTGCATCTTGGATACTAACAAGTTTTATGAAGACTACTACCCTTCCGGAAAAATTTACAAACTTCCAGTCATGGAAGGTCTACCAGACTCTCTGGCAGTCGGTGCTGTAGGCATGCCAGGTGCTACTGCATACTTCGGATTCCTGGAACACTGCAGACCAAAACCTGGTGAGACAGTTGTGGTGACGGGCGCTGCTGGAGCTGTGGGCTCTCTGGTCGGACAGATCGCAAAGATCAAGGGTTACAAGGTGATCGGCTTCGCTGGTTCTGACGAGAAAGTCAAGTGGCTGGAGAGTATCGGCTTTGACAAGGCGATCAACTACAAGACTGCCGACAACGTGGCTGCACTGAAAGAAGCTGCTCCGCAGGGAGTGGACTGTTACTATGACAACGTCGGCGGAGAGCTGAGCAGCACCATCTTGTACCAGATGAACCAATATGGACGAGTAGCAGTCATCGGCTACATTAGCTCGTATAACGATGATTCAAACAGTCTGCCCAAAGCCACAATCTTACAACCTGCCATAATGTATCGGCGACTGACAGTCAGCGGCTATATTGCGTGTGATTCGCGTGATAAATTCCCTGAAGCGTTTGATCGAATCACCAAGTGGATACAGAGTGGGAAGATAGTGGCCAAAGAACATGTCACGGAAGGTTTCGAGAATCTCTTTGATGCTTTAATAGGAGTGCTGAAAGGTGATAATATTGGAAAGGCTGTTGTTAAAATATAAACTGTTATATTTTTATTGCCAGTGACCCTTAAATTACTTGAATAAAATATTTTAATCTGTTATTTCGTATTAATTTAATTCTCTATACACAAGTGTTAACAAGTGTCATTTCTATATATACGGAGCGAGAATATCAACAATTTTAGGATCTATCCAAATATATCATAAGAAAAACCGACTTCAAAAACCAAAACTAATAACAAACAAAAAGTCAATACTAAAAAGCAAAAAATAACTATTATTAGTACTGATAGGTTACCCACCCACTGATAGGTAAGAAGTCGGTGCCATACATCCCCCATAGAATTTTCGAAAGTTCCCCTCGGTTTCCCTAGGATCCCATCATCAGATCCTGACTTCATGAAAATGGGACCATCTCGGGAGTATACCCTTTCAAACAAAACAAAAAATTTCGAAATCGGTCCACAAACGGCGGAGTACTGCGCGATCAAACAAAAAAAAAAAAAAACAATCAGCCGAACATAGTACCTCCTCCTTTTTTTGAAGTCAGTAAAAATTATGGTTGTTATACCGTTATCGTGTGTCTGAAATAATTTTGTCTCATCATAATAAAATAAAATTGTAACTGTTGATGGTCACGCTCACAATAAAATTAATACTCTAGATAAACATGGTAATAACAAAAATTTGTGGATCATAAAAATAATTTTCTATGCAAAAATTGAGCCCACGATACGTTGTGCAGCATCCACTGTGTCAGACATTCAAAATATTTAATTTGAATATGATAACACAGTGCAACGTACTTTTTATCAGTACTTTACTAGTGAAAGCTAATCCTGTAAAACAAGCGTCACTTAAAATGAGTAATTTCTATAGCCTTATATCCATTTTCATTATAATCTTCGTTTAGTCCTTTATAAATAGATAATATTGGTAGCCCAGCCATGTTTTATTTAAAACGGACCTACAAAAAACATTTTAAAACGTGCGTCTAGCATACAAACCATGTAAATACTGTGCTCAAATTCCTTAACGCGTTTCAATTTGGTATCAAGCTATTTTTAGATCATTTAAAGATTGCGCAATATTTTATCCTCAACACAACGATGAGTAGAGCTGTTTCATAAATAAACTGGATGCGATAGAACATGCAAGTCATTTTGGTTTGTCAGTGATAACAACACAAAAAAGCCAGTTAAATACCCTGCGTCCAGTCACTTGTCAGTTAGTATCAGTGAAGACACAATGGTGAAAGCGCGCAAGTACGTTGTCGTCAACGAGTTCAAGGGTTGGCCTAAGCGTGAAGATTTCCAAATTGAGGAGTACGAGCTGCCGCCCCTCAAGGATGGAGAGATTCTAGTCAAAACTCAGTGGTTGAGTGTAGATCCATACATGCGGATCTACAGTTCACCGCAAAAGTACGACCAGTTCGGATATAATGTCGGCGTAGTGGTAGAAACGAAGGCTGCGGACTACCCAGTTGGCACGAAGGTAGTGTCACACAAAGGCTGGTGTGACTACGTTATCCTAGATACTAACAAGTTCTATGACGACTTTCATCCTTCCGGAAAAATTTACAAACTACCAGTCATGGAAGGACTGCCGGACTCTCTGGCAGTTGGTGCTGTAGGCATGCCAGGTGCTACTGCGTACTTCGGGTTTCTGGAACACTGCAGACCTAAACCTGGTGACACAGTTGTCGTGACGGGGGCCGCTGGAGCTGTAGGCTCTTTGGTCGGACAGATCGCGAAGATCAAGGGCTGCAAAGTGATCGGGTTCGCTGGCTCCGACGAGAAAGTCAAGTGGCTGGAGAGCATCGGCTTTGACAAGGCGATCAACTACAAGACTGCTGACAACGCGGCTGCACTGAAAGAAGCTGCTCCGGAGGGAGTGGACTGCTACTACGACAACGTCGGCGGGGAGCTGAGCAGCACCATCTTGTATCAGATGAATCAATATGGAAGAGTCGTAGTTATTGGCTCCATTAGCTCATACAACGAGGACCCTAAAAACTTGCCCAAAGTAACACTGTTACAACCTGCGATATTATTCCATCGACTATCGATCAGAGGTTACGTTGTATGGGAGTCACTTGATAAATTCCCTGAAGCATTTGATCAAATCACCAAGTGGATACAGAGTGGGAAGATAGTGGCCAAAGAACATGTCACGGAAGGTTTTGAGAATCTTTATGACGCTTTAATAGGAGTGCTGAAAGGTGACAATATTGGAAAGGCTGTTGTCAAAATATAGACTGTATTGTCTAAGCCTTTTTATTCATCCTACTTTTAATTAGGTATTGCTTTTTTCTGTTTATGTTTTTATAACGTAAAAATGTAATTTCAAACGAGCTCTCATTGTTTGTTGTAAATAAAATTGTTTTAAATTGTGAATGTGACGCGCAAAAATATTTCGAGTGTGGTTGTTCTTGTGGTAAGTTTTCTAATATTTTACTTTATTTGCGTAAAGTTCATATATGATGCATTTACCATAAATTCTTCAGAGTTCTGTAATATTTCACAAAATAGCGAGATATTCCTAAAAAGTTTATGGATTATTTTACTGTTCTCAATTTATTTCCAATTTTAATGTAATGTATGTCCTTATAAGTTTAAATAAATGATATTTTCTAATTTGAAGTTTATTTCATTTATGTATTTTGAGACATTTTGTCTCAAAATTTGGGTTCTACATTAGGGTTTTTTAATTAGCACTTAAGAACACGTAGACAAACATCTATACGCGATGTAGATCTTGTGAAGCCAGCTTTACTCCCATTCATCAACAGCCTAAAGATGCCCACTGCTGAGCAAAGCCTCTTCTCACACGGAGAAGGTTTGAGCATTAATCACCACGCTTGCTCAATGCGGGTTGGCGATTCAATCTTAGAAAGTACGTATAACTCGGTAAAAGTCACATTGGTACTTGCCGTTGATAGGTTTCGCACCCTCCACCCCTTTTCCCTTTTCGCATCCTCATGCATGAGAAGCGGGCATCTTGAACCTCCGGGCCACCACGACCTCGGAACTCACATTACGAGTAGGTATATAATACTATAACACTAATACTAAATAAGAACAGGATATTTTTATACCAACCAGTCAATTTTTTTACGTGACATAACAGATGTGAACTATGGATCACAGCAACAGATGACCATAAGTCGCCCGCTGTTTGACAAACCTTAGATAAGAAATAGGTCTAGAGCATTTAAAGTACCTACCTCTACACTTTACCTTATACTTTATAAACTGAATTTATTTGAAGCTAGGGGTCTAACTTACCTACTACCCGTCATTAACAATTTTCAAAATGAAATAGATAACGAAAATAGAAGATATTTCGCCCGAGTCGTGACATTTTCAGTTAAAGATTTAAGGAATGAGTGTGGAAGCGGGTTTTTTCTTTATAAATAGTTTTAAATTAATAAAGACTTGCTTTATCTAATCAAACCCACATTGGGGGCAAAACATTGTCTACGTTTACTAAAAATCGTGGGTTATGAGTAACCCGTGTTATAGTTTTATTACCCGAGTTACTCGCGTGAGCGTGAGTAACCCGCGATTTTTAGTTTATTTAGTCTTAGTTCTTTTTATTTAGTTTATGTCTCACGATAGTTATTATTTTCTACTTTTAACAAGATAATCAATAAAGCTCTGAAATACATCTTCATAATGAAACCCATTAAACAGTTCTAGTCGATCCAATATTGTAAGCGCTATCAATACACAAAAGTTACTTAAACACGATAATAATAATAATACACCGCTATCACTGAGTTTGTTTAGATAGGTATGTTATTAATAAATTATCTATAAAAAGATAATGGGACTTCTTTCAGTATGATTCTTATCATCATTCAAGCCAATGAGATACTACTAGCTAGTCACTGCGGCGCTTCACTGAGATAATATATAGTAAAGTCCAGTCGATCGTCAGTCAGTATTCGAAAGACAGCAAGTCAAGACAAAAGCAATTAAAAGATGTTCATTTCGGAGATCAGTAATTATATACTCAGCTGATTTCTAATTGAACACGAAGACATTTCAGAATGTACTTAGGCATTTTCGAAATTCTTTCACGAGGTCAGATTATCACTAAAACAAAAATGAAAAACCAAGTGCAAGTGTGGAAGCATTACTTGCATAAAATATAGGTAACAAACGTCACAACTTATCTTAAACATTTTAACATTTTCCTTATTTTTATCAACAACAAAATAAACGACAGAATGCGCCAGTTCATACACGTACCTACTCCAGTAATCTTCTAATCTGATAAACAGCTAATATGTAAGCGAGAAAACGAACATAACCATACAGGAAGCCTGATACAATGACGATAGCATTATTGATCGAGTATAAACTACGCTCAGCCTGTTAATAAACTCAGTCGCTCGTAACATTTCGGCAGCACAAGATCACAATGGTGAAGGCAAGGAAGTACGTGGTTAAAAAACATTTCGAGGGTTTACCTAAACGTGAGGACTTTGACATTGTGGAGTACGAACTGCCTCCGATCAAAAATGGAGAAATCCTCGTCAAAGTTGAGTGGGTGAGTGTGGACCCATACTTACGAGCATACAACTCGCGCTTCCCAGTTCCATACGATCAGTTCGGTTTCCAAGTAGGAATAGTTGAAGACTCCAAAGATCCTAGATATCCCGTCGGTACCAGGGTGGTTTCCCACAAAGGATGGTGTGACTACTGCATCATTAATACAACTGATACTAATGTTGAACCGGCTGAAATACCTCACAAATTACCTAACTTGAAAGGACTATCTAATTCTCTGGGTGTTGGTGCCGTTGGTATGCCAGGATGCACTGCGTACTTTGGATTCCTAGAACTTTGCCAGCCTAAGGCTGGCGAGACAGTTGTTGTGTCGGGCGCTGCCGGAGCTGTGGGCTCTCTGGTCGGACAGATCGCGAAGATCAAGGGCTGCAAGGTGATTGGCTTTGCTGGTTCTGATGATAAACTTAAGTGGCTCGAAGAGATCGGTTTTGATAAAGCTATCAACTACAAGACTGCCGATATTGCAAAGGCTCTGAAAGAAGCTGCTCCCAATGGCGTCGACTGTTACTTTGACAATGTTGGTGGTGAGCTCAGCAGTGCAATTATAAACCAAATGAATGAATTCGGAAGGGTATCAGTCTGTGGTGCTATCAGTTCGTACAATGACGCTGAACTGCCAAAGTCAACCATCCTTCAACCAGCTTTAGTATCGAAACAACTAAGGATCGAAGGCTTTATAGTGTGGCGGTGGTACAGCCGACACTCAGAAGCGTTCGCCGAATTAACCAAATGGATTGTGAGCGGAGAGTTGAAGCCTAGAGAGCACATCACTGAAGGATTTGAGAATATGGTCGATGCTTTTGTGGGAATGTTAAAAGGTGACAATTATGGAAAAGCTGTTGTTAAATTGTAAGTTATGTATAAGTAAAATTAAGATTTAGCTAAATATTTATGTTTCATTTAGAAATAACTAGGCCCCTGTCCCAGTGGGCTACATCCTATTAAATGATCAGTGAGAGAACAATTTAACTCGTCGAGTACCGGTTTTATAGACACAATTAAAGAACAATAGGTCGCGGTCACCGGTGACCGCTTGGTGTTTGACAGTTTAAATAGTGAACGGTGTTATGAAAACTCAACAGAAAATTGTTTCTTTTTCAAAACATGTACGAGCTACGTTTGAAATAAAAAATAAATTGATTAGGAAACTAACAGCAATCAATCTTATAACTACAACACTATGCTAAATTATTCATATATAAGTAGATAGGAAACACTTATAAGATAAAAACAACGAAAATTAAAGCTTATCTTAAAACTAAAAGTGCTATTCCAGCGGGAAACTGATTTCTTCCAAATGTATATGGATCATTAAGTCATTGTCGCAATGAGTAAAGAAATACACAAAAACTTTTTCTATAATTAATTACCAATATTACCTACTTAAGAAAATTGCATGGCCTAAAGATTAATAGAAATATATTTATTACAATCTAAACTAAGTTTATGTAACAATACAGCAATGCAATAACATTGATAGTACTAAGGTAATACACTTGTAAATAAATGAAATGAAAGGTGACGGTCAAGCCGGTAACATAAATACATATATAATCTGAATGTTTACTTATTTTTTGTCGACAAACACCGGCACAAGCGGCTGTGTGCTCGGTCTACACACACATTACTAATCCTCTGATAAATGGCGAGTGTGTAAGCGAGAACGTGCCCATAACCGAGGGAGACACGAACATGAGTATGCACATCGCGTGACACGCAATGACGATAGCATTACTGATCAAAGTATAAACTACGTACCGGTTGTTTATAAACTCAGTCGCTCATAACGTCTCGGCAGCACAAGATCACAATGGTGAAGGCAAGGAAGTACGTGGTTAAAAAACATTTCGAGGGTTTACCCAAACGTGAGGACTTTGACATTGTGGAGTACGAATTGCCTCCACTCAAGAATGGAGAAATCCTCGTCAAGGTCGAGTGGGTGAGCGTGGACCCGTACATGCGAGCGTACAACTCACGCTACCCAACTCCATATGACCAGTTTGGTTTCCAAGTTGGATTAGTTGAAGATTCCAAGGATCCCAGATATCCTGTCGGCACCAGGGTCGTCTCCCATAAAGGATGGTGTGACTACTGCGTCATTAATACCAATGACCCTAACGCTGGCCCTACAGGACAGCCTTACAAACTACCTAACTTAAAAGGATTATCGAATTCTTTGGGAGTAGGTGCTGTCGGCATGCCGGGACTAACCGCTTACTTCGGCTTCCTCGAAATCTGCCAACCCAAAGCTGGCGAGACAGTCGTCGTGACAGGTGCTGCTGGAGCTGTAGGCTCTCTGGTCGGACAGATCGCGAAGATCAAGGGCTGCAAAGTGATCGGGTTCGCTGGCTCTGATGATAAAGTCAAGTGGCTTGAAGAGATTGGTTTCGACAAGGCGATCAACTACAAGACTGCTGACATCGCGGCAGCTCTGAAGGAAGCTGCGCCCAAGGGAGTGGACTGCTACTTCGACAATGTTGGAGGAGAGCTCAGCAGTACGATTATAAATCAAATGAACGACTTTGGAAGAGTTTCAGTTTGTGGTGCTATCAGTGCATACAACGACTCTAACTTACCGAAAGCTACCATCCTACAGCCCGCTTTAGTATTCAAACAATTAAAAATTGAAGGTTTCCTGGTATGGAGGTGGTTCCACCGCCAAAGCGAAGCATTTGCCGACCTTATCAAGTGGATTCAAAATGGAGACCTGAAGCCTAGAGAACACATTACTACAGGTTTCGATAACATATTCAACGCTTTTGTTGGAATGTTAAATGGCGACAATTCTGGAAAGGCAGTTATTAAATTGTAAGTTTATTTATAAAATGATAAAGTATGAATAAAAGTTAATGTTGAACTTATTACAACTAATTATTTTATTTACTTTACACCTCTATAGATACGTAGCATAACATCTACTACTTATATACTAAAGACTAGTAGGAAGTTACCACGTTTGAAGAGTTCCATATTAGCAAACTGCTAATTAATATAACAAGACTGTCCGACGCCTCCACACACCACATCACACCTAAAACAACATAATCATTAAACATAATACTCACACGATGTTTAAACAGCATATATTAGGTACCTATATATAGGTATACATAGTTAATACTATTATGCAATAAACACAATGTGTGTGTTTGAATCCGGTTAGACGATACCTCTTTTACGATGTTGAAAGAACTCATTTTAAGAATATACATGCCTAATTAGAATCTTTAGATATCATTGTGATTTTGATTGTGACACAATCAAATATAAGTGCAGTAAGTAGAATCAGTCAGGACTCAGCCTTAATTGATAAATTGCCACTATTTTTAGCATGATAGCAACTGATGATAAACCCACGTTTGGCCCGACAACTCTTACAACGAGAAAAATATAATTTTTATTTATGTTTTGCACTTAGTATCAAACCTGTTATTAAACTGTCAAACACCAAGCGGTCACCGGTGACCGCGACCTATTGTTCTTTAATTGTGTCTATAAAACCGGTACTCGACGAGTTAAATATTCTATAGAATAAAAACATTGGTTGTTCTCGAAGGTTAAGAAACTCAGCTTAAAGGTCAACGTTTTATCATTAGTTCTCGAATGAGTACATTATTTCTGCAGTATAATAGCCGATGCAACAATCACACTTGATGCGTCTGCGACACAACAGTACATCCATAACGTGATGAGATTTCTTTTAAACCAAGTCTCAGTGAAGTTTTTTTATTGATTCAATCGAGCTGTGGGACAAAACTTATGGTGCTGTACTTTGACCATTTAACACTTCATTAGGACTTTGGAGCGTGAGCTCATATTTACTAAGTACTTATAAAAAGTTATATAATAATGCCTATACAAAATCGACAATAACACGATATCCTGTTATCAAATCTAATCAAATATCGACATAGTTTTGAACACTCACGCGACACGTCAATATCGTCGATGTACAGTTTGTCCTCCTTGCTCATAAGCATGAAATGCAAGTCATTGGGCAGAGGCTCCTCGTCCACGGTCACTACTTCAAACTTCACGTTACACACGAACCCTAGCATCAGACAGACACTAGCGAGGAAACTAGCGGACAGCGTCGCCCTCGAGGACTTCGCGTGCAGTTTCTCCGCTTGGGCGAAAGTCTTCTTCCTCAAATATTGGACACTGGTGTCCACATAATCAATCAACGCACCCAATACCGGTACTCTAGAATTCGAGTAAGTCATGTGCTTAGGCAAAATAGTAACCGGCGCGTCTCCGCCACTCGCCATATCGAATAACCGAACTTTGTTAGTTACTTTGAAACAAAAATTTCCAAAATATTTTTTTAGGATACTTCTTAATTTGACACTCATGATTTCCTTTTCTGGTAATGAAGTTTGTTTGAAGTAAAAAGTTTGTACTCATTAATTAGATTCTATTTTTACCTCGTTCCATATTATTTTATGAAAAATTGTGTTCAATTATCCAAGTGTTTAATCATGATAGGTATTAATCAAATAACAACATAAAATTGGTATAAAAACGTGTAGCATTCACCTACTCAGAAAACAGTCACGTTTTGTTACTTTACCAAAAGATATCTTATCACGTAAATTTCTAAGTTTTTAAGTGATCATTACCTAATGTGACAAAAGTATTGACGCAAAAATCAACACTGTATCAATAGTAATTTGCTAATCATTTCTTGTTTGCCCAAATAGCAAATTCCAAAGGATCTTTACTAGCTATAACCATGTTAATGTTATCACGGGAGTAAGAGTTAATAAAATAAACAATATAAAATTGTTGATTAATTTCGGATTTATGTGTTGTATAACGATCCCATTTACTGATTATGGGGTTTCTGCATATCTTAATATCAGAGAGGAGAAAGAGGAAGCTCCAAAATTGCCTCAGTCCTCATCGCTTTACAAAGCCTAACAAATAAAAATATACCCTTTTACAAATCGCACAACACCCATTTATGAACAATCATCAAGGTACTGTGTCAGTAACCAGGTGCCCAACGCAGGTTGCAATCTTTTACATTGTAATAACATAGTGACAGTGTTCTATAAAGCCCTAGGTATCTGGTACCTACATAGAGTCAAGACTGTCCACGCCAGGAGCTCTTAATAACGGTCTTCCATACTTATGTCATGAATAACAACATGAAAACACTAAAATCCCTTTAGGTAGTTATGCGGCATTTTATCTGATACCAATAGGCATAAGACTGATATGAATACCTGACAACTCCTGTAATCAGATCAGATAAATGTATCAAAGATCGTTTACATATTACATTCGACATGTAAGCATAACATTGAAACGCCAGACGATTGCCTAATCATAAGGCTGACGAATTTAGAGAAAATAATTCCAAGTGCTACAACTTCTGTAAACCAGGAGACCAAACAAAGTCCGGAGACAAAGTGGAATCAGCTTTTGGACACTTACTTACAATTTATAAATGAGTTTGAATATATAACTATTTTGGATCCCACAACCTAAGTTATTTGTATCTTAATCACAGGAAAATGGTAGTCAGTCAGTAGGTACTTAAACCCTACCAGATAAATGAATGTTTTGAAGGAGATCGTGGAGGTTGATGCTCCACTGTGTAATCTAATTCGAAAATATTGTTAAATACAGTTCAATTAAATATTTGACTCCACAAAAGATCTCAACCAGCACATTATGCGACTGAGAAGCAGGTGAAATGCAACTGTAGTCGGGTCAAAAATATTTGAAAATATAAGTGTATTCAGAGACATATTATTATACCTGTATATTTGTATACCGCATAGAACATAATAATATCGATACAACTAATCTTAACTTATCTATACCAACAGCAATATAACAGGCCAAATTATCAACAATATTTTATGTCAGATTTTTAATATCATAGGCGAGCGATAAACGCACATAAATTAGTGATTTTTATCAACAATATGAATGATGAGGAAAATTTTGAAATATTTTAGGTGTGATTTATATACTAGGTCTTACTAGGTAATATAAACCATACGTACTTAAGTAGGTAAAATGAATCGACAAAATTATAAATTAACCTTATGATGTAATTGTGATGATGTCTACAAAGGTGTTACAATTTAACAACAGCTTTTCCATAATTGTCTCCTTTCAACATTCCCATAAAAGCGTCAAAGATATTTTCAAACCCTTCTGTGACGTGCTCTCTAGGAGTCAACTTTCCACTTAAGATCCATTCTGTACCATCTTTAATTAATTCATCTAGCCGATCGAACCATTGATCAGCATGAATCCCTTGAATATGCAATTTTTTGGCCAGTACAGCAATCAAAGGCACATTTCCTGTAGAGTTTCCGCTTGGATCGTTGTACAAACTGATAGCACCACAAACTGAAATCTTGCCGCCGTAATTAAGTTGACTTATGACAGAATCACTGAGCTCTCCTCCAACATTATCGAAGTAGTAGTCCACACCGTTGGGAGCAGCTTCTTTCAGAGCCGCAGCGATATCGGCAGTCTTGTAGTTGATCGCCTTATCGAAACCAATCTCTTCGAGCCACTTGACTTTATCATCAGAGCCAGCGAACCCGATCACCTTGCAGTCCTTGATCTTCGCGATCTGTCCGACCAGAGAGCCTACAGCTCCAGCAGCGCCCGACACAACAACTGTCTCACCACCCTTTGGCTTCAAAACTTCTAAAAATCCGAAGTACGCGGTAATGCCTGGCATACCCAAGGCACCTACTGCCAAAGAATTTGGGAGACCTTTCAAGTTTGGTAATTTATAGGGACGCCATGAATTCTCACTGCCCTCAGATGGATTAAAGATACAATAATCACACCACCCTGAGTGAGACACGACTCTGGATCCAACTGGGTATCTAGGATCCTTGGATTCTTGAACTAATCCAACTTGGAACCCAAACTGGTCATATGGGATTGTCTTTCGACGGTTGTACGCTCGCATGTACGGGTCCACACTCACCCACTCAACTTTAACGAGGACTTCTCCATTCTTGAGTGCAGGCAACTCGTACTCTACTACTTCAAAATCTTCACGTTTGGGATATCCCTCAAAATAGTTCTTGACGACGTATTTTCTTGCTTTCACCATGGTAATCGTGTCTTCTACAGACAATTTACGAACAACTGTGCCATGCCAGTGTAGCATGATGCTTATATACGCCTATACCTATTTAACAGAATTACTTGTCACTGTGATTATAAAGTTATCTGTGAAAACAAAAGTATGCATGACATGCCCATAAAATACTTATCAACCTAAAGTCTGTACAGAATGTATAAAACTTTATTGTATGTATTTTATGTGAATCTGAATGTTGAAGAGTTCCCGAACCGAACACCTATTTGCTAGGTACTTTATTCGACAACTACTTAACTAGAAAAAAGTAGAATGCCCGTTTCCGTGATAAAGGTTTCAGTAATAAAAACAATCCTAAGTTCTTACCCGGGTTCATCCACCATAGTTGTATCGAATTTCAATTAAATAATTAGTGGTTTAAAAGATAGACAGTCCCGGGGCTTTAACGCATATTCCCGTTTCCATTGGATTTTCGGTATAAAAATTTTCAGATTTCCTCAAACTAACTTTCTTCTAAGATTTCCGGGATATTATTCTGGTTTTATGAATTCGTATACTTAGGATTTATGGCATGCTACGAGCAATAGCCATGATCTGGCAGGCGTCAGCCCTGCACGTCATCAACCCCTTTATTTTTTGAACTTTTAAGTACCTAAATTGAGTTTCAAAACTTGTTTCTGTAAATTTAAAAATTTAATAGGATAAAGTTTATTTATTGTGCTTCTTAAAAATAAATTGACAGGTGATTACAATAAGCAGAAGTATATGACAGGTCAATAAGAAAACGCACAGTTGATGATGTAAAATAAACTTTATCCTGTATACTTGAAATTCACATGTATTTTATCAACTTCTATATTCTTTACTAGGCTTTATTCTTTAATTGTAACTATATTTTTGATTTAATTACATGGTACAAATTTTATCATTATTAAATATATTAAATGAAAATTATTTATAACTAGCTTCTACCCGCGACTTCGTACGCGCAATCCCGTTTTTCCCCGTTTCCGTAGGATTTTCAGGACTTTTTTCTGTCATAAAAACCTTTTCCTGACAATAACAAACACAACAAAAAAAGATCACCCAAATCGGTCTAGCCGTTCTCAATGAACATTGGCTTATTACATGGCATGATAAAGCAATACGAATTGGCAAGTCATTATTATGCTCAGTCATGTCTACAAGCTTCAAAGGTGACGAATGCGTGAATTATATTAGGCGCCTAGGTAGGTATCGATATCGGTTGTATAGTATCGATTGTAAGTACTGCTGAAAACATGAAAAGAAGTCCTAACATAACAGTATTTTTAAAACTTTACCCCGTACTAGACTTTTACTGTCGTGAGTTTGTTTCGAAGTACATACTTAATTGCACATAATTTCACATACTCGTCGCATGGGGATTTGAAACAATTTGTGGATTGCACTAAAATAGTTGTGTGGTACATATTCGAGACAGTTAGAGCCGGCTGCCCAGGCAGTATCTATACTACCCTAATAGCGCTAACTACTGATATATATTTAAGCCTTTAACTGCCAATAAGAAATTTCTGAAGGCAAATCCTCCGTTTTCGTCGGTCATCGGTGACACCAATGGCGTTTAACGTGTTAAAAGTAACTGACAAATAATACTCACCCGATACTCGAACAATCACTTTAATACACTCTTGCGAGATTTGTGGTTCTTAAGTCACATTGTATCAATATTTTCAAACCGAACAGTCCGCAAAACTGCGTATTGCGCAACTTAATTTTAAAAATATCTGCTTAGGGCTCTAGATTCGAGGGTAGAGTAACCGTGCTGAATAAAATTCAAAAATATATCAAAACTATTAATTTTATTGTAAACTAAATGTGATATTACAATGTAAATTATTTAAGAACGAAATAGCTTAACATTATAACTTCCAAAGCGTTATACACTTACCTTTTACTCGTTAACTAATAAATCAAAATTAACAAAGAACAGATTTCATTTCAAGAATGTTGAGGCAAAATTGGACTTTGATATTCATCATAAATCAGTCAATTTTGTGTACATTATATTATTCAGGAAAAACTATTATTAAATTATATAAACTTTAACATGTTGTTAAGCTAATCTTATTGAGTAGGTGCTAAATAATTCAGTCTGTCACCTATTCAGAGTTCTGATAAAAATGCTGAGTAAATTGGAAAATTATAATTGGAGAATAAATTGCTATTGAAAATCTGTTCGCCATTTATGTTAGTATCAAGAACATAAAAAAACTGTTTAAAAATGTAACGTAAAATACTGTACGCTACAATTACATTTCCTAATCCCTTAAAGGAGTAATCTTAACTTAGAATAATGTCAACAAGATGAGATGAAATCTAATCTTATTAAAACTAAAAAAAGGTATATTATTGTGTGTACGGAGAAAACTAAAATGGCTCTTAGTAACTGTATTGATACTAATATGAAAATAGCATAATAAACCTTAGTTCTTACAGCAATTATCTCGTTGTCCCAAACTTATTACCAAAAAAGCGAGTTCAACTAACCTAAGTAGATTCTTTGATGTTTAAATCTAATTACAACAAACTCAGGGACTATTCTTATGTAAAACGAATTTAAAATTCTTAAGGACTTAATTGACTTAACTGGATGTTTGATTATTAAAATTTGGGGAACAAAAATGTCCCATACAACCAACCTAACAAATTGTCAGACAAACACAACAAGATCCATACAAAATATACATCTGTTTGTGCTTCCATTATAAGAAAGCAATTTACTAGGACGATACGTTCACTTAACACTGACAATCACGCTTCTTTTGTACACAAGATTACTCGCTTGGGCCCCAACGCTTATAATAATTAATTTAAATAACTTAATGTATGTATTTTCCTTGAGCCTGATAAGTTAATAGCACACATTTATCAGAAAACGAGCTTTTCACACTGAAAGATAAACGAGAAATCATCTTACATTAAAAAAAAACGATTATTGCTTTTCACAAAACCAAGGCGATATACAGGGCGGATTAATTTCTACACATTCGTTAAAACTATATTGGTCCAAGTTAGGTACATGGTCAGATAACTTATCCAATAGACTCGAAAGAATACATTTCAATTTAACGATTTTTCAAATAATTTACAGATTCGTCGAGGCCCTTACAGGTACTTTAATGTGTTGGGCAGTGACATTCACGTGTTGGCCTTCTTTGCAGCCGAGGAGTCTGCTTCTCCTTCGCTCGCCTTTCTCTTTCTCTTGATAAGGTGGGAAATGTCGGAGGCAGCTGGTTTAGGCGCTGAAGAACTGGAACTCGAGCTAGAACTGGGTCCAGCACCATTGGAAGTCGATGCACCTTCGCCGTTCGCTGAACATAGTGTTTCGCGAACTCGTTTTATCGTCTGTGAATTAAATAAGAAAACATTTTTAATACTATGCTAAACTTCTATAGTAGTTTACGAAATTGTTTTTCATGGTTTGACCTTTACGTTTTTAGATCTTTGCTAGTTGCTACTATAAGCAATATCAGGGGTACTAGGCTACCCAAAAAGTGACTATTCAAATAATTATTATGCCTACCTCTTGGTAACTATAGTTCTTGTAACTATTTCGTCTACACAAATACATTACTCATGGTAATGTGTTTATTTCCACAGTTTGATCAAGTTAAAAAGTCGGAAATAAAAATTGACCCAAAACAGTAACTGCTTCAATAAAATCTTTATCATGACTTACTACCATTAATGCCAGCGATTTTTCTTGTAATTAAAAGGATAAAATGGTGTATATTTCTCCCGACTGTCAAACATGTAGTTTTCCAGTAAATGTTATTTTGATATTTCACTACAACGAAAACAGTATAATAGGATGTTATGTTGATTGCAAATCTGGCACATAACAAAAAAAAACCATGAACATCAATGGCCATGATCCTAACATAAACAAGCAACAATTCAACCACATGGCCATTAATGTATTGGGTATAATCTGAAATAACACACAGGGTTTAATTTTGAACAAATTTATTTCAAAATGTTGCAAAACACAATATAAAAATGGCCGTGTGGTAAAAATGTTGGCTTAAAACTAACATGATTCAGATAAAAAAAAAATCAGTACATGGAACTTAAAACTACGAGTATTATAAATGCTGCTGAATATAGCTGGCAGTCTATACTATTGAGATTATAGTTTCTTACATACATAAGCAGAAATTGCAAAATGTAATCATTTATACAAGGCATAATACACACCCAAATATAAATTATCGATACTAATGCTAAACAATTAAAGACACTGGAAATTAATTGTAACAGTACATAATTATAACAACTTTCAGTCCTTCAGTCTATCTTATATCTCAGTCTATTAGATCACATCAACAACATTCAAAATTAAGGCACACATTCATTTCAATTCCAAATTTTTAAAAATAATACTGATTATACTTAACATTCAATTAATAAAACAATCACAATATCACAAAACGGTGGCAACAATTTAGCAATTTGGCACAATATTATAATTTAGGAACAAATTCAATATTATGTAATAATTAATTAATATCACAATGTCATGGAATGTTGACGAATTACTCTTATGCTTACCAAGCTTGTCATGATTATCTAAGGATAAAATACTGGTCAATGTATTTGTACACATACATTGGACTACCTAATTATACTTAATGCTTAAACCAGAATGCCAATTGAACAGGTGTTTGCAACATATCACTTCTGCCTTAAGCTTGGCATTCCAACTGACATTGAGACCTCTCCTTGATAATCATGTTGCGCAGCATTTTCCTAGTAACCTCAATGCAATCACAAGGTCTTACCTCAGCCTTATAATCCATCATATCCTGAATCTTCTCCTGTATTTCAGGCAGAAGTTCCTTCAACTCCTTGATTTCTCCCTCGACGGAATAGAATGGATCTGCAGTCGAGAATTTCTTGACCGTGGCGTCTTCTGTAACAGTAGCTGGGTTCTCCAAGGTTTTAATTCTAGTTTCGAGAATATTCGCTGCATTCTTGAAATGTGTAATCGCATCTTCGAAGTTTGATGCCAGGGAATTAGCGAGACCTGCAATAAATATAAAAAAGTTGAACATTTGACACTGTCATAAATAGTTATATCCCTAAAGAAATACCAAAATGAAGTAGTGAAAATGATAGACTATGGAAATTTAGTTCAAAGGAATTATATTTCTGCTTACCGATTTGATAATGTGTCTCGGCAATACGCCTGTCGTCGCTACGATACAGTTCCTTTTGCAGATCCAAACAGCTTTCTGTAAATAAGAACAAAATATAAAATAAATGATAAGTTGTTGGCAGTGCCAGTAAAAATGTTTCAATTGCGTGTAGCCCACGCGAGTTATTGGATAAATGGTTTAATTTTGTTCTCTCTGTGAATGACCCATTTTATAGTCCTCTACTTATTCAATAATAATAATAGATGGACAGATTGCTGAACAGTTGAAAAATCTATGAAAATTATTTTCAAGGTGTTATTCATTGGAATATCCTTCATGAAAGTACTGTTATCATAATATCTTTATGAGAGCTACTGAGCTGTGCAGTTGTGTTGAGTATATATTCTGATAGTAAATATTCAACTTATTATTTCATATTTGGGTTATTTCATCTTCAATAACCACTTTCAATTAATATAACATAACATTCTATGGAACCTGTGAAATACCTTTTTTGAAACTTAGTTTTAACCAATGGCCCTTCTTTTCCTGGTCAAGGCATTGATATTAGGACATTTATTTACTTTTTCTTTGGTAAAAAAGTGTACAACATGGAGGTTAAGTAAGGTAAGGTTTACATACGCATATCAGTGACCGCCTTGTCGTAGGTCTCGCTCTCTAGCGCGACCTCTCCGAGCGCGAGGTGCACGTCGGCCAGCAGAGCGCGCGCCGCGTCGCCGCCGCAGTCCTGCACGCGACGGTACAAGATGCTGCGTGCTAAGTCTGATGGACAAAACCCATGGTTGTTAAATTACATTAAAGTAATACTCTGGAAATCGAGTTATTGTAGATTAGGATTAATATTCAGTTCTTCAAATGTTGTCAATAAATATAATCAATAAGGAGCCATACAAGTCCTGAACACATGTTATGATGTTTCACAGACTATCTTTTCAATACCTTTGATTTCAACATGTGGAAGTAAAACAGAACATGTCCTCATAATCAATTTTGTAAAGGTAATAAATAAATTATTAATAATATATAAAATTTTTCTTATACTTACCAAGCATCTCCCAAGCAAGTTGTAGATTGTCAACATCATCTTCAGCATCCACATTCATTACAGATTCATCATGAGCGTCTGCATCGCCGTTTGTTGTTTCCTGTTAGAAAATTAAATTATAAGAACTACTATCAACAATATAGAGTATTTATAATTTAATTAAAAATATTGCCATTGAATTTTTCTTGAACACCTAACCAATTTTTTCTTCTAACACCTATTCATTTTTTATAATTTCTCAAGGGATTTTCTCTTCTTTCCCCACTTCTCACCAGCATGTTATCAGTTCTATGCAAAAGACTAATATTCAACTAATTATCATAATTGAAGAACTCCTGAAACTCACTGGCTCTTCATTTTCTTCAGGAGCAGCACTGCTGCCTGGCTCTTCATCCTTAGTTGTAGACTCTGCTTCGCTCTTCTCAACTTCTCCATTTTCTTTCTCATTCTCTCCGGCTTCTGCTTCTGCCTCAGCATCGCCATTCTCGCCATTTTCACCATTCTCTTCTTGTTCTAAAGAAAATATTTGTTTTATAAAAAAAAATCATAACTTTGTACAACAAACTTGCTTTGACAGTCTTATAAGACTTACCATCATTATCCTCTTCCTCCTCATCAGCATTTCCTGATCCTGGCACACCATCACCGAGGACACCACTCTCTTCTCTTGACAGACCAAGCAAGGCTTTGCCATACCTGGTAAATAAAGAATTTTAACTTAGAATTATACCTGTAGCATCTTCAATTAGTAGTAATAACAGCTAGTAATTAGAATGAGCCTAACTACAAGGACAGCAAAACTGTACATGGTAAATGAAACACCCACTTGTCACAAGTTATAAAACCTATACAAAAAGGGCTTAGTAAAAACGGGGCTTAGTTCGAGTTTGCTCTAAATTCCATAATGTAAATTTTGTATTTAATATACAGCACTCTGATTGGTTGGATCATAGGAGCCAGCTAATCAGAGCGCCGTTTTGATTACTTTAAACATAAAACAAATAGTTACTAAGGGCACAATTCCAGACTCCATCCCTTTAATGAGAAAAGACATTTCTAATCAATTCTAGTAGAGCTAGAGAATAAAGTGTTGACCTGTTAGAAACTTGTCAAACTCAAAAATTTAAATTTTCCCAATAGAATTAAGTATTACCATAAGTAAGCCTCTGCACACTGGTCGGCAGTGTCTCCGTGTTCTTTAGCGAGTCCTTCACATGCTTGTGCTAGGGTGCTGGCAGCCGCACTGAAATCTCTCACAGCCAGATGTCTGCGGCCAGCCGCCAACAGCTCAGTTGGAGAGGAAGTCGACACTTCTGATACATCAGTCATCTGAAAAGCAGACAAAGGATTTTAAGCCTAGTTGTGTTTGGTTATAATATGGAATGAACTTGAGAATTTTAATTTCCTGTAATTTTGTTGTTAAAATGTAAAAGATTTGTGATATTAGAAATATGGTATAAATATTCAGAATTAACCTCACATAGGTAGTATTTTTTCTATGGGTCCAGATATCTTAAAAAAGCTGTCTGTTACAAATCAAGTTAGACAATGAGATTACTTTTAAGTAGAAATGAGATAAACATGATAAATTACTGATTGCAGACCAAGAAAACTGCAACTAAAAACTATGTATGTATTGTATATACCTATGTATATGTATGATACCTAAATCTACAATGAAGTTGCATGTTCTACTTCTGTAAATTTAGAGTGAAAACTATCGAAAAACATACAATGATACAGACAATACTTTCTTTTCATCACTACTACAATGTAAGTAACGGTCGGCTCAGCGGTATTGTACTAATACCGACACAAATACAATGGGTAACTAATAAATTCCACGTGGAACAGCTGCAAATGGCAATCGACAATTAATTACCTCCAAAAATATGAAATATAGAATATTTATAACAGAAAAAATCGTATTATATAGGAAATTAGACAATTGAATGAAATAACCGCGCGAAAATGTTGTTTCCGCATTCGATGTGTAAGCACGTGAAACTTATCAGAAGGTTATTACTTACTTTGCCGGTTTAATTCTTCACAACAATAATATAATTCCAACACAAATCTATCAACAAATTCTAATGCAAATCCGGTAAAACTTGAAGAAATGCACGCGTGTCGACTTTATTCCGTTTGCTCGTCGTTAACAGGGCCGTCACACTTAGAGCCATTGACAGCTTAAAAAATCGGACCGTCAACTACATCTAGTTTTCGAACCTGAAATTAAATGTTGTCAAAACTAATATTTTCAGTGGCCACACAGTTCCAAGCAAGGTTGCAACATTATTTTAAAATTTAGGCTTAAAATAATATTTTTTGGAAATAGTAAAATAACATTATACACATTTATTTAATACTATATTGCAATTTTTACAAAATAATTCCTTAAACTTAAATCAAATGACAGTTATGCTGGCATAATCGATCAAAGATGACAGCCTCTTTACTAATAATAGAGATTAAAAAGATATTAGTGATGGATGACAAACTAAACTCTATGAAGTGACTGCGTCAGGTTTCTGCATCCAAAAGCATTAACCTAAGAGCCTGTGAACCTCAGGTCTAGGCCACCGTTTTTATTATATAAAAACTAATATTATATGAAAATACTCAATTTTCATAGAAAATCTATAAAATAGGTTGCACGCATTCTTTCTGTCTCTCTATCACACACACACACACATTCACACACATACTTAATCTTTCTCGATAAATGCACTAACTCTATTTCGTTCAGTCATCATCTCTGATTTACAATTTGACAGCACCATCATTTTCACCACCCTCGAGAACCATGAAAACGACACCTATAACGATAAATTGAAAATATCGTGCAGCCGCCATCTTGGATTTGCATTTTGACAGCACCATCTTTGTTACCACCCTCGAAAACCATGAAGACGATACTCATGACAATAAATTCAAAATTTTGTGCAGACGCCATCTTGGATTTACATTTTGACAACACCATCGACTTTATCACCCTCGAAAACCATGAAAACGACACCCATGACGATAAATTGAAAATTTCGTACAGCCGCCATCTTGGATTTGCATTTTGACAGCACCATCGGCTATCACCCTCGAAAACCATGAGAACGACACCCATGACGATACATTCAAAATTTTGTGCAGACGCCATCTTGGATTTGCATTTTGACAGCACCATCGGCTTATCACCCTCGAAAACCATGAGAACGACACCCATGACGATACATTCAAAATTTTGTGCAGACGCCATCTTGGATTTACATTTTGACAACACCATCGGTTTTATCACCCTCGAAAACCATGAGAACGACACCCATGACGATATATTCAAAATTTTGTGCAGACGCCATCTTGGATTTACATTTTGACAACACCATCGGTTTTATCACCCTCGAAAACCATGAAAAGGACACCCATGACGATAAATTGAAAAATTTTGTGCGCACGCCATCTTGGATTTACAATTTGACAGGACCATCGGCTTTATCACCCTCGAAAACCATGAAAACGACACCCATGACGATAAATTCAAAATTTTGTGCAGACGTCAGCCCTGTTCATTTCCATTTGCTGATTTACTTTATCCAAGTTTTCGAAGATATTACTCATAATAGCTAGTCATTAATTGATTAATTACTAGTAATTACGAATAATATCAAATTAATCACTTTGGCTGTAACATATTATGTATATACATTTAGGTCAAACTGATACTCCTTTTTTAAAGTCGGTTAAAAAAGAATCATCAAAATACGTTAAAAAACGACGAAGTCATCCCTAATGGAACATAAAAAACCTTATAGGTATATAACTTTTCCTTTTTTTAAGTCCGTTATAAATAACAAAGGTCTGGGGTTCATAGGCTCTTGTACTATTATGGATTGTCAAATTATTATTTTTTTACGGCAACGCTGGGGCTAAAAAAATATTAAAACATTACAATAATAATTTTCCAAATTATTTAGATAATAAATAACTATTAGAATAATATTGTTAATAATTAGATATTGATATTAAATACTTTTTTATATTATCTCCTTATTTCTATAAAATAGTATGCATGTAGTTTGTACTATTTTAATACTGGCATATAATATGTATACTTTTTGCTTGATAAAGAAAAGAAACAAAAACAAAAATTTGAAATGTCAAAATTGTAAAAATTTTGCCAAAAATATTTTAAATTATTTAATAATTTGTGATGGGATTTTGTGATTGTTTTTCTAAAAAAGGAAGTTCTGCGATGCGTGTTGTGTTTTCTATAAAGGACCTTTTGTATACATGTGTATCACAAATCACAAAAAGTACATTGTGTTTGTTTGTCTATTCATTGGACTTGATTTTACAAAGGAACGCTTTAATTTGCGTATATATCTTATTTATAATAAAGAACATCAATACGAAGAATACAATCATGTTGCTGAAGGTAAAACCTACAACAAGTTTATGATTTTTGCTATTGAACCTATTTATACATTTTATTTGATTCATTGAGATACCAAACTATGTAGTTTTTATAAATTTCTACTTTTTCTTTTGTATATTTGTTACAGTGATATTTGGAATTGCTATTGCATCGATATTACTTCAGCATCATCATTGCAGAATATCAATAGTGCAATTTTTTATTGGCAGTTACGAGTCTTACGATGTCCGGATAAAGTGCCGATCTATACCAGCAGTGCTTGAAACCTATTTTAGAGATGGTAAATACTATATTATTCTTGTAACATCAGTAATATCACGTAAGGTACACCTACCTTAGATAAATAAAAGAAAACAAATAAATAAAATACATATTTCTGCATGTAAAAATAATCTTTGTTTTTTTTTCAGGTACTATTTGGAATTATTCTAACATTCAGACGTATGTTGTCTCAAGAAACAAGAAACCCATAGATCGCTGCAAATATTAAAGCCGTATTATTTTTGTAAAACTATTTTTATCTTTGTATTAATGTATATATCATAATTAGAACAACATTTTAAGTACCTACGCACAACAAAGTAATATTAAATTATAAATAAACTAAAATAGGTACATATTCACACCTTAAAAAAAATGTTACCTTAGGGCATCAAAAAATTCTTTTTCATCGCTATCGTGGAGTAGGGTGCCCAAAAGACTGGCAGCATTATTCTAGGTTTTACTTATTTGTATTCATATATGTAGAGGTCTCTCCTTCTTGGGCTTGACCTGGTGAAAATGGGCACCGCTTCCCGCAACCCGCAGGAAAAACGATGCTCATAGCCCCTTCTAAATTTGACTTATAAATCTCCTTCTTTCTCTTCTGCTGACTACTTGACTACTAACTGGGTGTAGTTTGTGTGCCAGATGTGGATTGTGAGCTTCATGTGATGGTTGACTGAGTGGTATGTGGTGTTTGCGCTTGAGATGGTTGTAATTGATCGGAATCTGGAATGTATGTGACGAAAACTGTGTCTCCTAGTACTTTGCTAAGAATGATTATTGTGTGAATGGTGGCTAATGTCTATTTATGTTTCTAGTTTGTCTGTGTATCTGCTGAGGCTTTTGGCTAGTACCTACTCCTGTGGCTCCAATTACTATAGAATTAACATGCGTTTCAATATTTCAAGGCGTCTAGCCTTGAGTTGTGTCTTTAAAAAGTGGTATTTACTGAATTTCTTTTGTATCCTATGTTGTAGTTACATGGTACAGTTATGTCAAAGAGGTATGTGGTGTTGGATGTTTTGTTTGTGTATATTATGTCCGGTCTGTTGTGGGCAACTGTGAAGTCTGTCTGAATTGGGATTTCCCACATTATTTTGCCTGTTTCATTTTCATTTGTATTTATAATAATAATATTACTTTGTTTCATTATAATGTTATAAAAATATTATATTTGAGGATAGGAAAAATCTGTAGTTGTTTAGTAAAAATGACTGTAATATAACTAGATATAGGAAACGACTAAGTCAGGCATTATTAGCAACTAGCAAAAAAAAGTACTAAAAAACAGACTGACTGAGAGGCAGACTGAGACTTATTTTTAAGCACTATATTTTTCGACATTATAATAATAAGTGCGACTGCCGGGCAAGGGGTCTCGGGTTCGATACCCGGGTCGGGCAAAGTATTACTGGGTTTTAAAAAAATCTCAGTAGTAGTAGAGTAGTCTGGAAATGTGCCCGGTATATGGCAATAGGCTCACCCCCTATTACATGGGACTTATAACATAAATAGTGAAAAGTGGGTGTTACATTGTACAGTGGCATTGAGTGCCGAAATGTGCCTCTGCCTACCCCTTCGGGGATAAAAAGGCGTGATGTTATGTATGTTATGTTATGTAAATTGTATAATAATTTTGTGTTTTTGTAAATACTGTAAGCGATTCAAATCGATGGTAAAATGTACTACATTTGTGTAGGTATTACGGTTAATTTATATCATTAGATTGTTAACTACTGTTAGGTACTGTGTAAACAACGGTGAACAGTAAATATTTTTAATTTTAGTTCTTTTGGGATCAATAATTAAAAAAATAACTAATTCAAATAAATTTTGAACGACATATTTATATCTGAAATTTGTAAACATAAAATTAAAAAGAACTAAAATTTGAATTATACTTTGAACAAATCTGTCGTCTGATATTTCCCTACTAGCTGATAATTTTTAAATGTTAATTTGTATTTACTGTAAAATAAATGTAATATTGTAATTAATAACTTCTTTGATTTTGCAGCTACCAGACATAGCTAATTCCAATACTACCTTCAATGTACCAACCTGCAAGGTGCATTGTTGGTAGTATTGGCATTAGCTATACTTAGGATTATCTGTAGACATTAGTAAAAAAAAAAATATACTTGGATTCAATTTTCAGATGGCGTTTCAAATTGATTGGCATAAATTTTGACGAGTGGCAACTCTTTACCCCTATACTTATTATACTCTTTGGTCGTTAAAAAGCAGACAGATTATAAAACATTGAAGAATAAGAATGAATTGAAGAGGAACTGTCAACGAGATGTTGTCTATGTCATAATTATGAAAGGAAACCTGCCTTTTATCTTTGGTGCTTTATTTATTTACGCTTACACCATCTTACTCATCGACATATCTTACTCCCGCACAGATTTGAAATAAATATTGTTAATATTTTCATCGAATGTTATGAATAATATATTCTATAAGTTATCAAATTTTAAACCGGTTGTTAGCTAAATTGATTTGTCTAGATTGATTATTACAATAGCCATATGGCCGTCCCCAGCTAGTGAAATAAGCAAGAAATAATAACTATCTCTTTTCAAGGGTTTCCCCTTCGAACACCTGTCGCACCTTGTCGCACTGTGCTCTGCTGTCGTAGATTCTTTTCCTACCTCATTGGCTTTTATTTTGGCGCCCCGTCATCGCTTTCATTACCGACTTAAAAAACAGGAGGAGGTACTATGTTCGGCTGATTTTTTTTTTTTACTCTCAGTTACTATCTGTAACTGTCAGTGTCAGTAATAGTGACAGTGACAGTATTGTCACTAAGTGTGTTTTTAATATCGTGCGGATATCATCACGCGTGCGGGATTGCCCCGCATGCGTAAGCCCCGCAAATGTCCTTTTCATAAAAGTATTTATTATAATGCGTGGAATACGGACGCGGGACGCGGGGGCAGCAGCACCGCGCGGGGCCTGCATGCGGGGCAATACCGCACGCGTGACGAAATCCGCACGATATTAAAAACACCCTAATGTCAGATTTAGATGCAAGTGTCAGAGTGTGACGCGCTCATTTATTTATTTATTTACCCCTGAAGTCTAAGATTTATTTACCTCTATATTGAGCCCTTGCTAGTCTTATCATATCAGTGGCCCTTGCCCTAACCATCACCCAAAGAGTATAATAAGTATAGGGGATCCATCACCTAACAAAAAGAAACGCTAAGTTTCTCATACTGTTTTATTTAAAACGCACTCTGAGACTTATTATTCATACTCTCTTTGCGCTAAGTGACACTACCTAGTAGTGACTCCCTATTGACTCCTGGTAAATAAATAAATAAAATTGTTGCAAAATGGCTGAGAAAAGAAAGCGTAGCCAAAATTTTACGGATGACGAAAAACAAAAATTAATTAAATTGCTCATGGAGCATAAAGACATTATATTAAGTAAAAAAACGGATGGAGCCACGAATGAAGCAAAATTATCTGCGTGGATGCAAATAACCGCTACATTTAACGCTACTGGATCAGTATTCAGGTAAAAATAATGTGGAATATAGACTACATAAATAATTCCATTGAATTATTGCTGTACAAAACTTATACTAATCTGAAATTAAACCGGGGACTTTGTGGGTTAAATGTATGTAAATATACATTTACATACATTTAACCTTTTTATGTAAATATACATTTACATACATAGTTAACATAGTTTCAATTTATGTTATTCTTATTAAAATATTATAATCGTTTTTAGGTTTTTGTGTTCATTCCTTAAATCCTTATGATCATGATCATTTTAATTTTGTAGATCAAAACAATCTTTATTGAAAATGTGGGAAAAACTCAAAAGTGCTAGCAAATCATATTATTTTTCTACCAGAGAAAGTATAGAACAGGCTGGTAGTGGCACATGTACTGTCAAAAGAGACCCTATATTGGCACAGGTGTGTACCATGTTGGGTCACAGTTGCACAGAAATTGAAGAAGAGAATGTTTCTAATGTTGTTGAGGCGGTAATATCTGAATGTGATAGCGATAATGAAAGTCTACCAAAAGTCATCAATTGTGAAATTGATGTGGAAATACCATTTGCCGCTGATGATCCACTAAAGGTAAAAGCAGTTCATTACAAACTAATACCGGACTACAAAGTTTTTTTTTTTTTGCAAATGTTAGAGTAGAAATATTGGAAAAGTATCTGGACACTTTAACACAAAATATATATTTATTACTAATGTTAATAACAAATGAGCATAGGAATGATGTGGAGCGAGGTAAAGCGAGAAGCTGAAGACCGTTCTAGTTGGAGAATCTCTGTGGACACCCTCTGTGCCATCTAGGAGACATAGGACTATAAGTCAAAGTAATTTAATGCTAATGAAATGATTATGCTTGTAGGTTCCTAGACTATGGTCAAGATCAAGGAGACGACGAGCTTCCTCAATTAATGAAAGACAAGAAGCCATGAACTCTCGGGATTCTGGCTTCAAGGATGAAAAGAAGAAAGATGCGGATGAGTTAAAGATTATGTTGCTTGAAGAGGAGCTCACAACTAAAAGGCAACTCAATGAGCTACATATCCAAGCTGCTAGAAAAGAGCTTATTATTAAGGACTTAGAAATAGAAATAAGAAAGGCAGCACTGGAAAGAGTACAAGGTATTTTGGCTATTTAATAATTTTTCAACCAAAAAATTCTCACTTCAAAATAGGTAGTCACTTGATCTCTTTGAAATCTATATACTGAATTTAAACTTTAAACCCAATGCCGAGACAGGAAATCCTTGTAGCATGCTATACTGCCAGTTTCATATTTTTTGTGAGCTGTAGATTTGTTTGTAAATATTTATGAATGTCAATATGGCGTTTGAATTTATAATATAATACTTAATTAAAAATAATCATCACTGCTGCTGAGCAAAGCCTCTAGTCACACGGAGAAAGTTTGAGTATTAATCACCACACCTGCTCAATGTGGGTTGGTGATTACAAACTTATAATTAGAAATTGTAAGCCTAGGTTTCCTCACGATGTTTTCCTTCACCGTTTGTCAGTCTTGTGTAATTAATCTTAGACAGTACATATAACTTGGAAAACGTCACATTGGTACGTGCCGTTGGTAGGTTTTGAACCCGCACCCTCATGCACGACAAGCGTGCGTCTTAAACCTCCGGGCCACCACAACATGTAAAAATAATAAAAAAAAACAAATTAGCTACTTCCCTAGTTCAGTAAGTATATCCATAAAAAATATAACTTTTTATGTTTACAGGAGGTAGTCTACCATGGCCAAGTGTTTTCGGAGATTCACTTAAAGAGGAACATTAAATTAATTATATTCCTAAAATAAAAAATAAACTGTAAGTAATTAAGAAAAAACGGTTTTTTATTATTAACCTTTATAAACGATAACTATATATCTTTCTAAGCTCCCAACAATTATACAGGTGTGCTAAGGTTTCTACAGTTATCAGAAAAATATTAAAAAAATTCCAAGTCAGATAGCTTTTAATTTACAATGACTTATGTGTTACCCAAATATTGAAGCACTATTCAGGATAACGTTAAGCAAAAATACAGACGAGAAAATAAAGAATTGTGAACATAAAAAACAGAGTGAACTTTTTCGTGGGTAACACATTAGTCATTGTAAATTAAAAACTATCTGACTTGGAATTTTTTTATATTTTTCTGATAACTGTAGGAACCTTGCCGATCGCCTGGTTCCATTTGATCGTCGACTTTAGGGACACCCTGTATATACTGATCTGATCCTCTGCAGTTTCCTGTTCGTTTAGGTAGCCCTATAATTTTAGGGGTCGACTATTAACATTAAGGGGCTCTCTAAACGTTTAGGTATTAGATTACTTAAAGGTTTATTATGTACGCTTTGACATCATAAATCTTAAAAGTAAACACAATAACTGTTTTCAACAGTGAAGTTGGGACTTACCTAGTCTCGAACCTACACCCTTATGCTTAAAGAGCCGACGGAATAGCGCCACCGCTATTCCGTTTACGAAAATACAAATTAATGCACAAACAGTCACACTTATATCGAAATCGACAATATACTTACCTCTAGTTGTTTCGTGCAAAAATCGTGAGGCCGCAACACGTTGCGTAGCATAGCTCGTTACTGTTGTTACCCAACTACTGCGCAACCCATGCAATCCAATTGACAAAATAAGAAACAGATGTTACCGAATATTATATTACTGAACAAATATTACAATTTTATTTTACAAGATAAAAGAGAAGTACTTACCTGCCTATGTATAGCTACCTAACTACTTAATTAATTTATTTTTCAAGTTATGAATTTGTATTCTAACGCAAATAATTATTTCCCTTATTTAATTAATAATTAATAATATTGATGTCATTTTATTAATTGTGGTGCAGCTTGCATCGTATAATGACACGGGGGTGGTATCGACTTTTCCCCCACACCACCCCACTCTAGCGGTCACCCGCCCAATCACACTTTAGTAATGTTTCTGCATTATCGAGACACTTGTCGATAAATTCTCAAGTACTTAGGTCAAGTACCTAACTATCATTCTCTTGTATTCTTTGATTGATAAATGAGTGAAAAAATTCGTTCCTCAGATAATATCATTTGGAAAATTCAATAAATGGTAATGACCTTAATATAGCACGTAAGAGACCGAATCATAGGTTTCACAATATTGCAAAGCTTATTTGTAGGCACAAATATCCATAGGTACTTACTTAGGTACATGTTTATTATTACCACCTGTCCTATTTTAGGTAGACATACCTATCTAAATTATGCCCCAAATCATTGTTACTAAAACCTATGCTTAACCAGCACAATGTTTTTTTACGCACCAAAATAATCGCTTAAGTACCGAGCAGACACAATCCTACTTTACTACGTATCGATAAAACAGTTTTCCTACCGCCAGCACTAGATACCGCTACATTTTCCCACTTTTCCTCAGTTTGTCTGCAACGCGTGGACCGGGCGCTCGTGTCCGCGTGCACGAGTACCTCGCGAACCGATTACAACCCTTTATTGACATACCCATCACGCGAGATCTAAATAAAAAGTTTGTCTGTACTCTTTGAAAAATGTGACAAAAGACTACATTTCATACAAGGTGGTGTGAACACCATAAAGTAAGTTCTGATTTTTGTTTATTAGCCTTTCGTGTTACGTTAGCATTTTAGTAAGTGTTTGTAAGTAGATAAAACCTTAGAAATACTTACGGTGCTTTTGGGATTATGTTTTTCGGATATTTTGTGTGTTTTATTACTTCCTTATAGAAGCGTAGATAGGTAGCTCTGAGTACCTGGGTAGTATTTATTTAGATTTATTAGATAGTTTAGTGCTACGTGATGCCTACACACATAGATTAAGGTCGTTCAGTGAACCCATAGGATTTATTATACCTACCTAAAGCCTATAGTTTCGTATTTCACGGCTAAGAGTAAGTGCCTGTGTAAATAAATAATGGTTAAGTTATACTTACATTCAAATTTAGTTTCATATTACTATTGTTTAGCTAAGTGGTTAGTGGCATTGCATTAGAAGTTAGGAGCTCTATCATTGTAACGGGCCTGTAATTTTGTGAAGTGCACGTTCAGTAAATGAATTAAGGGAAAATAAGTGTCTATTTTATTTGAACCGACTCCATTTGTTATAATTTCATACCTACTACTATCAGTTAATTGTATCATGCGATAGTTAATTACTCAGGCGACCTTTAGCGAAGGTTCAGATAGGTAGAACTTAATCTAGGTATCTACGTATACATACTATGTATATTTGTGTAATATTATGTACACACACCTATACCTGACAACATAATATCTACTTACCTACACATATTTAAACAAATATCGTCAGGAGTTCAAACACCACGAGCTCTTCATCTTCTCACCAACCAATTTAGTTACTTGAATGTAAAAAAATCAACATTTTTCTATAAATGACGTGAAACTTTATTACGTGAGAAAAAATATTGAAAGGAAAATATTAAATGTTACAATTTCAATTCAGCAGTTTATTAAGCAATTACCTATTTAAAATTTACAGTCATGCGTTATACTAACCAAGAGACTAGGTTCCTCTGCATTGGATGGTTATTTCGTCATTCTTCTGAGACATCTCATTTATTTGTTATTCTTATTGTTATGTTAACACGGCTTAACACCAATTACATTAACACACACACAAAGAGAATCAAACAGTTACAATAACAAAAAAAGAAGAAAGAAACAAATAAATAAACATCACATTAAAAAAAATACAACTAAAAATCAATAAAAAAAAAACATAAAAATAAATCAGACAGTTACAATAGTAAATGACAAACAAAAATGTACGTAAGTACATCACAATAAAATAAAAACGAAACATTTAATTATTTACTTCAACACAGACTTCAAAGACTTTCACAAAAACTGAGACAAACATTTTTAGTAGTTTTAAGCTCGTCCATGAATAGGTCACAGTCGGGGTAGGCTTCCATGAGGCTATTGAGCGCGGAGAGGACGCGAGGAATTAAAAGTACCAAGAAGATCACCTGGTTCCTTCAGAGCATGTTGGTAGAGTCCAACTCTACCCTCTTACAAAGTCCGTAAATAGATCACTAGAAAGGGGTGGAACCTTTCGCCTAGAGACCACATGGTCATTTTTAGTAGGTACCTAAGATAGTTAGGTAACTATTTACGCGTTACTCCTACCGCTTAAATCCTGAAAGTAAAGATGGGCGATTAAATTGGTCATTTAACAAGCCTCAAGGGACTTATGAGTCCTTTAAAGCCTGTAAACGTATCCTTTTTATGATCTGCAACAGGCTGTTTAAAATTACCCTAATCAAACAAGGCGATAAAAAATAAGTGTCTACGTTTTATCCAGAACCATGGTCACTAAGGGGGAATAATCAAAAAGTTTTTATTCATGTGCAATGAACTTTTACGATCAGTTATCCTTGCTTGTGGCTTTCGGGCCTCGGCCACTCCTACGAACGAATTATGGTGTGTCTACTTGTAGGAACATGAACCAATACTCATAAGTGTAAATAAATATTTACTATCTTAATTCGATGACTCAATACTTCGTACCTAACGTTCCTACGTATTACCCAGTTAGTAATTTGCTTGTCACATGAAAGTTCACTATTGGCTATTGGGATTTGCCGCAGTCGTTGGAGGTCTCTTACCGACCGTCCAATTAGCAACTTCAATCCCTAGGGTGTATTAACAAACTAATACACAGCCCGGAAAATATTGTTATTAAAACTCAGGGTTAATTAAATATTTTGTTATTGTAATGGTACTTATTTAACTGTTACTAGGGTCCTTAAATAAATTAAACTGAAAACAAGTATTGAATTTATTTAGTTATTTAATTTTGTAACACTATTTATCTGTCACACGGAAAACAAGGCCTATAGTGAACTCATCTAATTCTGTGACTCGCCTAATAATTCGGTTTAGTAAATTTGGTAGAACTCTTAGGTTTCTAGAAAAAAATCTGATTATTTGTGCTAATATTCCTCATAAAAGACTGATTAAAACTCATGCGGAGACTGAATTAAATTAATTAATAATTTATTGGTATTTTATTACTCAAATGCCTTTGTCACGATAACTTCGTGACAAAGGCATTGAGATGAGTTCACCCTACTTACTATTTATTTATAGGTAAATAAAGCTCTAAATTGCGTATGTAAACTAGATGAACAGCTAGGGTTACAAACCACAATTTGCTTGCTTGAATTACCCGTATATTTCACAACCTGTGGGTACCTTTAACTACATAACTTTCACAGGATAGGTAAAATACATTTACGTACCTATGTCTCAATTTATATCAAACGTGTAGTACCTACCAATAACCATATATCAGGCCGACACCTGACTGCCATTGGTGCAGGCAGGGAAATAGATAGCCAAATACCCTGATTGAATGACAGTCCTGCATCAATCTCTTCATGCAATTTCCCCGAGGAATTTTTAGCATATACCTATATCTCTACTTAACTTTTTCTTCTCGTGATGTTACGATTTAAGCACGTATAAGGTAATAGTTTGTATAGCTACCATATAGGTATTTTATTTTAAGGGGTAAAATCATCGAATGACTGCTCGTGTCAGACTCTTACTGACTAAAAACCACCCCGTTCCTTCTCCTGCACGTCGAGCCGGAGCCCCGGTTACCTACCCGTTAGGTTCTCCGTATAGGTATACGTTTACCATTTTAAACATTTTGTGTTTTCTCGGGAAAATGAAAAGAGCTTTATAAACTTTTAGCAATTCATCTACTCAAGTAAGTACCTCCATCCCCCATCTTTTACTGGATACAAATGTACAATACTTACAAGTTAGTGGGTGACTATATAGGTATCTAGCTATCTACCGACACCCACCTGTGATTATTCTCACGCCGAGGACGACAGTCAGCCAATAAGTCAGAAGGTGGAGAACGTGCACTTTATTCGGAAACTATCTAACGTGAGAATAAAATAAAACCAGTCTTACATAACTCTGGACATTAGTTATTATACACACACATAGATAAAGCATTAGCTACATCCACAATAGACGGAAAATAAATAAAGGCAAAAGAAACTTCTTGACCATAACGACTCTATATACTTTATAGGCATGTTTTGGCGGGGGTGAGACGACGAATATAACGTAGGCGTGCCAGGAATACCGAAATCAGCACTTCGGAATAAGTAGGTTACTTAATAATGTAGGGAGAATAATTTTTAACGCCTGTAAAACTAAGTTACTAAAGGACAAAGCTGAACCTATTATTGCACGTGTTTGACTTTAATTTGACTACCTAGAAGTCCTTCAAACTAAGTTATTTAAAAAGTATGTATTAAAATTCTTGCCACGCTTGTCCTCTACGTAAAAACGTGTTTGAATAACCTATTTCAAATATTCTGAAGTGTAAACGCGTTTGTCACACGCAAATAAATGGGATTAGTGTGAATATTTCCAACGAATATATTCAACATGCGGCTTTCGTCGTGTAGGCTGAAATCGGACTTAGGTCCCTACATAAACCTACAGACAAAAAATGTTTACACATAAGCCTTAAGTAACTAGGTACGTACGGTACCTAAGTGGAAACGCAGGTAGGTGCGGACAAAGGGACACTGATTTTATACCTAAGCCGCGTTTAACAAAAACTATATAGTATTTGAGGCCGCAGTAATCCTCTGAAACTAGCGGTTTCCGAGGCTCGTACTGTTTATTACCACTATTCTGACCTTTGTCCCTCACCCAGCTCTAACATCTCACCCGGAACGATAAACACACGGTTTATTATGACTATTTCTTTTGTTCACGGAGAAATGAGCAGAAACAAAAATGTGTTAAGTTTTACACAAAGACGGGTTGGTTTCCTTAGTAATATTTTCATTCGAATACTTATAAATATTATAACAATGGTTTTTGTTTTCTAGGTGAGGAGTATAGTCTCCTCAGCGACCAGATGATCAGTTTCAGTGTTATCGGGAGCGATAGAAGGCCACAAAAATTGCTCCCCACGGCAGTCCAGCGCGCGCGTATATCGCCTATCACAAACTCGGGACAGGCATGGAGGCCCAGACCGCCACGCCGCAAACCGAGTGCGAATGTGGCGTACACCCTTCTGTCTTCTACCTGCTGGCCACCTTGCTCCTTACCAGGTTAGTAGACAGTGAATATTGCGACAAAATCTGAATATTTTTGTTATTGTATTGTAATTTGATCTGTAGTAAATCTAAACCTTCTGAGATTGTAAAAGATAGAATTTCCAGTGACACAATTTATCAGACAGGAAATTTACTTTCGCCAATCAATCATTTATTGTCTTCGGAAACTTTCAATCATGTAATTTGACAATGGCACCCCCTCTCTAAAATGTAACAACATCCCATCGTTCAGATTGACGTGGGTGTGAGTGAATAGATCCCGGTAGACCTACTATAGTTAACACAAAGTTTTTCATTCGGACGGCTCAAACCTGTAGGAGCCTCTATTCCATTAGCTCGTAGATTCTCATCGTACCCGTCTCAAGTTTACGGCTTAATGTAGGTAGGTATCCCTAAGTTATTGGTTACCCGCCCAAAGCGTAGCTGATATAATATAGGTGTATAACTGAATACCGGTGGTTAGTTGGGATACAGTGTGATTTAAATTAAGTATCCAATATTGTGTGAAATATTAAGGCAGACAGAAATAATACGAAATTGCTATAAAAGATTTGAAAATGAGTTTCGTATTTTAATTTAATTTAGCTTGAACACGGGCTATGATTAATTCATCGGGGAACGTTACTAACTCTGTTACCGTCAAAAATAATCAAGCTGCTATAAGATCGCCCGGGGAATCAGTCTGTCTGAAGTCTTTGAGGGATCATTGAATTGCAAATTTGATCCAATCCAGCAAATCTGTTTGGAGCTAATTCATAAACATACGCATTCATTGAATAAAAGCTACATTCAGGTAGTAAGCCTCTAAGCTACCATAACAAAATACGTTGAACGTTGAAACAATCGCATGATACAAACCAATTTGATGTAGATCTCTGTCGGATTGGCCCATAAAAAATGTGTTTATCGAATATCAACATCATTTCGCCGACATTTATTGCTCTCGCTACTATCGTGCAATAATCCGGGCAATAAATATTGTCAAAGTCTGTAACATGAGTTAATTGCGAAATTTAGTTTTACTCGTCGCCTGCTGTAGCCTGAGAAGCAATATTCATCTTGCGACAAACGTCTTGTAAAATTGCCACTCGACGCCACTCCCGGAATATTTAATATTTTTCATAAAACTCCAGTGGACGTAGAAAAACGAGTTTTCCTTTGCACAAAGTTCTAATTCTAAATCTTCGGAAATACGGTAAAGCTTTGAATCGACGTTGATAAAATTGGATTTTGGAACACGCTACCCTTTGCTTTTCCGGAACGCGGATTTAAGGTGAAACGTCAGTTAGCTCTTTTGTAAATCCTTAAATTGATTGTAACAATTGTTTTAGTTGGACAGGTACGTAAAATATCCTAAGGTAAGCTCTGTTGGCTTTTAATCTTATTTTTACTAAAGGGATATTTGGAAAATGTGAAATGTTTTGTACCATTTCTTCAGTAAAGGGAAAGCCCAATAAATTGAAGTTTAACCAGTAGCTCATATTTCAAATGCTACATTAAACAGTATGCGTCAAAAATAACATGTAAATGGTCCTTCCTTCTCCATTCTATAGATATGAAAACAGTGGTAGATATATTATCTAAACTTATTGTTATCTAACCTAATGAAAACTTATTGTTATTGTATCTTGTATCATATTGAAATACAAAGGACCGACATTAAACACGTAGAAATACCCAAGAAATAATAAATTATCTTATTGTATTACGTACCTGGGCTGTTTATTTTATAAATGGGATTTCGCTCACTGGTCGTGAGTAGATTTCTATTTACGAGATGGAACTCCTTGGACCCTTCCTACGAAGGTAAATATTTCTTAAGCAAATAACTAAACGAACATTGTACCTATGTAGGAGGATTTCATCCCTGAGACCATGACTTCGTTTAATTTGTCTTTTGTCAACATTATATTCTATTGTAATTGGTTTTATTTCTGAAATTATAACTTTAGAGAGGTACAAGATAAGTACTATTTTTTGTTGACGGTGGGAAATCTTCAAAAGGTGTCTAGCTTTTTGTGGAAAAGACTAGAGAGTGTGGGATTTTTACTTCGCTAAAACCTCTCCGGTGCCCACCATTCGCACCTGGAGAAGGCACCGACTCCTCTTAGTACCTCAGCCCCGGAGACACCACGGTGCAATGGTGGTTACGGCATCTCCCTACTATGGAGACCTACCTATGTGTCTATCGAGTCTAGAGCCTCTTTATGCACGGCGGCACGTGACCACTGTGCCGCCGTCTTCCTTGAGGTCATTAGGTGGACACCTAGAACAAGATAGTTGCAATTTAATATTATAAGCAGTGCAGTACAATTTTACTTACTTAAATAATACTGCTAGGTATGCCAGAGTGCACCACGGATTTGACTAAGGATGGCATTAAATCATGCCTACAGCGTCTGTGCCAAGTACGAAGAAGACTAAACCGTAAGTTAATACAATATTTGCATACATTTTTCAAACAAAGCTTTAGCTTTTGACATACCTATTACTGGAAGCAAGTATAACAGCTCACACATAGGACCCACTTAGATTTTACTCAAATTTCCGTGGCGCTCGGCGACTGGGCTTCACCCAGTTGTACAATCTCTTTTTTTGTACGTTTAGGCCTAATTTACTCTACCTTCTGCAGTAATTCACCAAGGGAAGTGGAAACTATGGTTTTTTTTCCAAGACAGTTATTCATGTTCCTGGGACGCGCCGGACTTCAGTGTTCCGGTGTTTTCATGGTTGTATCTACTGTAGATCCTGGCTTACAGGAGTTGCAGCGGTTTTGGGAGGCCGTGGCGGGCTTGTCCCATAAAAAAAAAACAAAGCTTTAGTCGAACTGATTTATTTAAAACTTCATAGGAACATATAAATCCCTCCTTTTTGTTTTGCCTTAGTGGGATAGTAAATGACCCATTGGTTGTTTTCTTGCCATATACATTATCTGACAGTTTATCGTAGCGTGACTTGCAGCCGCAAGGACCAAGTATTAGTAGATTGTCAACATTTTTTCTCAAAACATCACCAATGCAATAATAAATATTAATTAATTACTGCCTACATTATGATAAGTATCCACAAAGCTAAACATTACTAGCATCGTTCCTTAACATTCTACCCTCTAACATAACCCTCTCACGCCTAAGCGGGTAAAACGACAAGCATTCAAGGAGGAAAAATCTCAGCATTGAAAGAATTCCCTTTAACTTTTACGAGAACTACTAACCCATAACTATTTACATACATTTTCTTACTAGCTTTCCTCAATAAGACAAATGGATTGACATAATCATAAATTATATGTAATAAATAAGCTTGAAAGATGAAAGGGCCTGGGAAAACATTGGTTATGAAATAAGAATAGAATTTGTTTGGTTGGTAAAGTTAGCAATGGTCAATGAGACAGAAAAGCAAGTTTTACGGAATAAGACTAACTTTTTCTATTGTGAACGCCATATTGTTTTCGACTAGAGTCCACACACAGCATTGCCAGTACCTAAATCACAGTTAATTCACTGCGAACTATGATAGTAGCATTTTTATTACTTAGAAACAACTTCGTTGCTATTATATTGTCACAATTGAATGAACACGAACCTGCTTAATAGTTTAATTATTGTCATAGTTACTTAATCCTAATTAAATGTCAACGATGCGTTCAGAAAGACCAAGTTTAAAACAAATTAAAGTTCAGAACAGACCACTTTTAAAAACTCCAACGTTGCGTCTCAAATAAATTAAAACGACTACAATATGCAGGACCCCAAATTAATTACTAATCCAATTTATTAGGGCGCCAACCAGAATATTTTGGTTGAATTCTCTTGTTTGGTCGATAATGGGATGGTTGCTAACAAAAATAACGAAACCATAATACTGCAAACGTAGCTGTATAAAGTTTTAAAGTAATGGTAAAATAAAAAAAACGCTCGATGCTATAAAACAACAACATTTCGAGCAATAGCGTGTTGATTACGTAACATTTTAACATATTGAACGATAAAATTTGGCCACAAGGGAGTATTTGACCTAATTTGAAGGACACAATTTACGTCCATACTTTCGAATATTTTGTTAAGCCTCGTTAATCCGCAGATAATAAATAACCGAACAAAAAATATGGAGATAGCAACTATAATAATAGGTAGATATTTATTTATTTATTTATTTATTAACGCTTCATGCACAAAGTGTACACAAGGTGGACTTAATGCCGCAGGCATTTTCTCCCAGTCTGACCTTTGGGTGATGCAGAGAAGAGTGAATGGTAGGAGCAAGAAGCAAGCAACGATTTAATTGAGAAAATAGAAGATTATACTAACATATTTCAAATATGAACATAAATAAATATAATAATAATATATATACCTACACACGAGTACACTGCAATATACATACATACATACATACATACATACATAGACTCATAGCATATAATATAAATATGAACATAATTACTAATACTCTGTAAATAATTATTGTGATGATTCAGCCAACCTCTTCAAGAGAAGCTCACGTACTTTCTGCTTAAATGTTAAACGTGTCGACACCATCCTGACATCCAGGGGGAGCGCATTCCACAGCAAAATTGCCTGCACGAAAAAGGAAGAATGAAAGAAGTCAGTGTGATGAGTGGGACATTGGAGAAGACGGTTATGGGAAGAACGAAGGTTTTTACTGTGGTTTGCGCACAAGTATTGAAAGTAAGGGGATAGATAACTGGGTAAAGAAGGTGAACAAAGAAAGGAGAATAGAGTGGTAAGCGCCCTTTGCTCCCTGCGCTGGCGTATGGGCAGCCACTTTAGTTGCAGCCGATGTGCAGAAACATGATCGTATTTACGCAGGTTGAAAACGAATCGAATGCAGTTATTTAGAAGTCGGTCGAGCTTATTGAGGAGATCTGCATTCAGGTCGTAGTAGCAGACATCAGCATAATCGATGATAGGGAAAACCAAGGCTTGCACCAACATGGCCTTCGTAGCGGGAGGAAGCAAATTTTTTACGCG